AAGAACCAAATATGTATGTATAAAGAAGCAGAGATCAGATGGTGCAGATGTAGCCAATAAGCTACAGACAGGCAATCAATGATGTCTGGAAAAACTCTGGATGCTGTTAATTAAGAAATAAGCAGCTGTCCAGCCCAAGAGTTGGCAAGCCTCTCTGGATATATGGAAGCAAGAAAAAAAGGGCCATGGCCATGTACATGAAAAATGACCAACCACTGGTCTACCACAAGTGGGTATGCAGGCCTGAGTTCAGCCTTGTTGTTGTTGCTCTTGTTGTTGTTAGCTACTGTCAAGTGGGTCCCTGACTTATGGCGACCCCACACAAAATGGAACGAAAAGCTGCCTGGTCCTGTGCATCTTTATGATCTGTTGTAGATCAAACCATTGGGATCCACACAATTTCCACTGGATGATTTTTGGAATTAGATCACCAGGCCTTTCTTCCTGGTCTGACTTAGTCTGGACACTCTGCTAAACCTGCAAGCCTCCACTAACAGATGGCTAGTGGCCGTGCATGTGGTGCATTGGCTGGGACTTGAACTTGGGTCTCCCTCATGGAGGTGAGAATTCTACCACTGAACCACCCCTGTCCCCTTGTAGTTGTTGTGTGCTGTCAAATCAATTCTGACTCATAGTGACCCTACAGGAGACAGTACAAGTGCCACATAGGATTTCCAGGGCTTTTCTCCTGCAGAGCAGCAGGTGTATTTGAACCACTGAGCATTCGGTTATCAGCCAAGCACCTACCCATTGGGCAAGCAGGGCTTCTTACTCTTCCCTTAACCTATTGCCATTGAGTTGATTTTGACTCATAGCAACCCTACAGGACAGAGTAGAACTTCTCCATAGGGCTTCCAAGGAGCATCTGGTGGATTTGAACTGCCGATCTTTGGTTAGCAGCTGTCTTAGGCTAGGTTCTCTAGAGAAGCAAAACCAGTAAAGCATATAAATATATATAGACAGAGATTTATATCAAAGAAACAGCTCACGCAACTGTACAGGCTGGAACGTCCTAAATCTGTGGATTAGGATAGAGGCTTCTCCCAATTCATGTAGCTGCAAGGGCTGGCGAACCCAAGATCAGCAGGTCAGAAAGCAGGGCTGTTGCTCACAGGCTGTGAATATTGACGAATCCCAAGACTGGCAGGCAAGACCGCAAGGCTTCTCCTGATTCACGTAGCTGCAGGGGCTGGCGAACCCAACATCGGTAGGTTGGAGAGCAGGGCTCCGCTCACAGGCTGTGAAGACTGACAAATCCCAAGATCAGCAGATAAGCCAATAGCTCAAGTCCCAAGAACAGGAGGTCAGACAAACAGGAGGTAGCCGCAGGATCCAGAGCAAGCAGTAAGCCAGAACACCTGCTTATATTTGGATGCAGACTACACCTCCAAGGAAACTCTCTTTCAACTGACTGGCTACTCACAGCAGATTCCATCATGGGAGGGATCACATATAAACACTGAGAATCATGGCCCAGCCAAGTTGACACACCCTCTTAACCATCACAGCAGCCAAGTTCTTGACCACTGCACCACCAGTGCTACTCTGTCCCCTTAGGGCTCTGAAATGCTCTTGCTGAAGGGTCAGGATCTTGGATTAGAAGGTTGGAAGGTTACCAAGGCAACCACAGACTGACTTCTAACCTTTAGGCCTGCCCTCACCTCCAGCCTCCTAGTCCAGTCTAGTCATATATTATGGATGGTTCACTGGATTGTACCTGACCCCTCTGAACACTGACCATATCCTGACACTCAGTCTAAGATAATATCAAGTCTTAAAAGATCTTGTCTGTATCTAGAAGAGCAAAGTTCACATTCTCTCATTCATTTTTCCTTCATCCATGCATCATATATTTACCCAGAGCCTGTGCATACCAGGTGCTGAGAATGCAATGGTGTTACGACGCAGCAGACAATCCCTGCCTTCATGGAATTTAGAGGCTAGTCAGGGGAGATGGAGGTTAATCAAATAACCTCCCAACTCAAATATCAATTTGTGACTGTAAAATATTAAACACTTGCTAAGGACCAGGAATTATGCTAAATGGATTGCCAAGACTGTGCTTTATCTCCTTCTCAGACTGAGGCTCCAAGAGGTGATGCAACTTTCCCAAGGTCATAGGTCATACTACCTACAAAGTGACAGAGCTGGGATTCCAATCCAGCACAATCTGAAGCAAAAAACCCATGCACTTGGCTACTTCTCCATTTTCCCCCTTGGCAGCCTATGGATTCATTTCTTTCCCAGTTTCTGCCCTTTCTCCTCTGAGGTCTGGATTTGGGCTTGCAGAATTTCTACCCTCCATGCAGTCTTTGACATAAAATATTGCAGCACCTAATATGTACAATTCACCGGGTCATGCAACTCATTATGGACAAATTTTAAGACTGAGAATCAGCAGTGATTGTTACCTAAAGAATACCTAAAAAAAACGAGATTACCATCTGGGCCAAAATTTAACAAAATAGGCTGCGCAGAGATTTCTAAATGTTCTGGATGATTAATACAGCAATGGCGCTCCCTGGCGACCATTATTGTGTTTTACACTTTCCTTGACCTTGGGAAGGAGCACGTTTGGAGGGTTTGAGTGAATAATAAAGCTCCACTAGTCTTGGTCAGGAAACCCTGGTGGTATAGTGGTTAAGAGCTACTGCTGCTAACCAAAAGGTTGGCAGTTCAAATCCACCAAGTGCCCCTTGGAAACCCCACAGAGTAGTTCTACTTTGTTCTGTAGGGTCTCTATCAGTTGGAATCAGTAGTCTTGGTCACCTTTGCTCCCCTTGCCTGCCCCATTTATATCAATTCCAGAGGCAAGGTCATGGGTATAGGGTGCAGCATCTTCTCACAGTTCAGAGTTGCAGCAACCAGGATTATTTGGGATCACCTACCCATTAGATCATGACAAACTAATCCATCATCTCCTACTAAAACACTTCTTTCTTTTCTGAAGACTGTGGCTACAGATGTCCCCATCCACACATCCTCTGACCCTATCCCGTGGCTATAGGAAACATACAAGAACTAAAGCAAACCCTGAATCATTCAACCAATATTCAGTGGGACCCTCTCTGAGCTAGGTTCTTGGGTGGTGCAAATGTTTGCTCTCAGCTAACCCAAAGGTTGGCAGTTCTAATCCACTCAATGGCACCACAGAAGAAAGGCCTAGCAATCTACTTTCAGAAAATTACAGCCATTGAAAACTCTACGGAGCACAGTTGTACTCTGAAATGTGGGATCACCATGAGTTGGAATCGACTTGATGCAACAGGTTTGGTTTGGTTTTCTCTGAGTGAGGCATTGTGCTAAGGGCTGGGGAAATAGCAACGGGTAAGTTGTGGTCCCTGTTCTAAAGCTTGCAGTCCAGCAGGGGAGACAGGCAGCCAATTAGTCTATAAATGATTCACTTTCAATTACAGTAAATGCTACAAGAATGAGGTTCTAAGAGTCTATACTAGGGAGACAAAACCAGATTAGGTTTGGAGATCAGAAAAATTTGCCCTGAGGAAAGAGAGTAAGGTGTGGTGTGCCCAAACTGGAGGAGAGGTTGGCCAGGGTGGTCAGGGAGCTTGGAGGAGAATGAACCTGAATTCAGCTTCTCCTGAGGCAAACAGTGAGTGATGAAAGTGTGGGGTTCATTAGCAGGAATAGATCTCAGGTGATCTCAAGGACGGTGACGGTATTGAGAGAATGTTTGACATTAACTTAACCATTGAGGAAGGTTGAGCTGATGTTAAATGATGAATAGAAACTAACACCTGAATATTTATCTTGAGAGTTAATTTAAACTATTACGAGTAGTAAATGTTGGAATGGAGAACATTCTGGACCTCTGCCAATTCTGCATCTTCCAGGGAGCCAAGGTTATCGCAGAATTTATTATTTACATCCCCTCCATTATTATGTATGACGTGGAAATAACAACAGCAGACATAATTGCCGGGGTTGTGGGCAAGAGTTAACCGGCAAAAAGATGCAAAGGAGAGAGAATAATGGTGGCAGTCATAGAGTTCCAACGGTGAACTGTGGCTATAAAAAATCAGAATATAAAACCTTACTATTGTATGATGTCAGATAGCTCTCAGGATGTAGCATGCCTTGGGTTAAGCATGCAAGATTTCGATTCAGGAAACCTGGATTCAATCCTATTCTTCCATCTATAGCTGTGTGCTCAAATTAACAAACTCTTGCATCTTCATTTCTGCATCTGTAAAATGCAAACAAATAATAGCAACTACTTAGATTGCTGTGAAGTGGTGCTTGTAAAGTGCTTAGCATCGTGCCTGGCATATTCCAACTACTCGATACTAGATTTTTAATTATTATTTATTTTTATTTTTAATTATTATTTAATATTTGGGAGAAAATCCACCCACGTGTAAGAGAGACTTAAGGAAGGGTTTCATTTTCTTCCTCACACTTTTCCAATTTTCTAAAATGAGCATGCATTGCTATCAAAATCAGGAGAAAAACCCTAATTTTTGAATAATAGAAATTCTACTAGTCTACTGTTTTTTTAAATTTCTCTGATCATAATTGTTCAGGAATGGGTGGGAGTACATGTTAAAAACACAAATTCCTAGGCCTTGACCATGAAATACTGAATCAGAATCTTCAAGGGATAAGCCTAGTAATCTATAGACTTTTAGCAAGCACCGCAGATGATTCTTATAATCAGGCACTGCTGAGATAAATTGGATTTATGGGAGGATAGAAGTGACTCGGCAGGGAGGTACAGCCCTGGTTGCAGCAACCACGAGGGCTTGAGCCTACAATTCCCATATTGCCCCCGCAAACTCGTGTCGGACGCGTCCGGAGCCTGCCGGGAATTGTAGTTTTCGTGCACCAGACCTCTGCTTATAAGAAAGCCAGAGATGATGTCGAAAACCTCCCGCCCCAGAATGCAAAGGTCAGGAGTGACGCAATCTGGAGCGCGCCAGGCATTGAGCGGGGAGTTTCGGCCGCCCCCACCTCCGCCGCTTGGGAGCGTGCCTTCTGCACCGCCTCCTCCGCAGCCTTTCCCGCTTCCTTCACAGCTTTGGGACCCAACTCCTCCGCCATCCCCTCTACGCCACCCGGGCCCTCTGCCCCTGAGAAGTTTTATTCGGTCTCCGTCGCGGGTCCGGGGCGCAGCCATGGCTGACGGCGGAGGGGGAACGGGCGCGGTGGGCGGTGGCGGAGCAGGACAGGCTTCCGCGGGGGCAGCGTCGGGCGTGACGGGGGCTGGTGGGAGCGGTGGCCCCATCAATCCGGCCTCGCTGCCACCCGGCGATCCGCAACTCATCGCCCTCATCGTGGAGCAGCTCAAGAGCCGGGGCCTGTTTGACAGTTTCCGCCGGGACTGCCTGGCCGACGTGGATACCAAGGTAGCTGAGACCGCCTAGGCCGAGGGAAGCTGGGCTGGGCGTGAGGCCGTCAAGGTTGCATCCTTGCTTTTCCAAAGCAAAGACAAAAGATACTTTTAAATCTCAGCAGTGAGGTATTAAACCGCTTGGGGCAGTACAGAGAGCTTTCTGAGTCAGGCCAATGTGGAGTCGACTCCCAGCCCTTCACTCACTAGCCGTACGATTTTAGCCTAGTCGCTTCTCAGAACTTTTGGGGGATCAATACTAGTTTTAGAGCCCAGATTCTATCATTCCCGAGATGGGACTCCTTTAAGCCCCTCGATAACAAACCTCAGTCCGTTACAAACAGTGGAGAAAGCCAGGTAGGTAAGCAAGAATGCTTTAGAATTTCCACCAGTTCTCTGTTCACCAATAAGGAGCTGACATTAAACATGGTAATTTGAATGCACAGTCATCAGCATTTATAGCTAACCGTTTGTCTTTTGCTCTGGCTCAGTGATTTGCAAACTTTGGTATGTAATTGAATTAAAGCCCATTGTTGTAGAATCGGCACCCTTGATATTGTATTCCATCATGATTAAAGGGGATTGGTGCTTATTTGAGAACCTAATGCCATAGGCCAACCCCCAGTAAAATGCGATTTCACTTTACCTACTTGCCAGGGTTTATTGAGATTCAGTGAAATGTGTATTAAATGTCAGATACTTAAGTTCCGGAATGTTCATTTCCTCTCTTTTCAAAAGCTTCTCCAGCAAGACCAAGAACTCTAAGTTATAGGTTTTGGAAGCTCTTGTACTGGCTGGGCTCCTCTATGAGTTTTACTCTTTTAGCCTGTTATGGAAATCTTGTTGCCTACCTCACAAGAAGATTGTGACCTGAAAATTAGACCTTAAAGATAAGGGAAGGACATAACCTAGTCATTCATTGAACATTTATTGGCCTATAACATGCCAATGTTCCTATGAAGGGTCAGGAATAAGTAGGTCACCTACCCCATCTCCAAGCTCAAGTTCTAGTATAGAAAACTTACATGTAAACCAGATAGTATAAATAGTAACTTCTGCATACTGTTTTACTACTCCAAGGTAATAGAAGTGCTATCCCTGAAACAAGGTACTTAATTTTCTTTATTTAAGGGACCCAGATAACCATATGGACTGTCAGCTTTCACCTTCAAAAGAACTCCTTACAACCTCTTTTAATCACCCATCAGTTCATTCTGTTTATTTACTTGTATTTTGGGTGGATGGCAAAGTAATTACAGACATCAGTACACCTTCACCTATACACTTTAGTAGTCTTGAGTGGGGCCCAAAACTTGCATCTGTAACAAGTTCCCAGGTGATGCTGGTGCTGCTGATCCAGGGACTACACTTTTGAGAATCACTGAGCTAAACAAAGATCTCAGATAAGATACACCTGAAAACACTGCCTTTAAGAATTAAAACAATCTGGTAACTACCAGAAGAAACAATTAAGGGGGTGTGAGTGGTTGTGAGGAGCCCTGGTGGCACAACAGTTAAGCTCTTGGCTGACAACCAAACCCACCCAGTGGCTCTGCGGGAGAAAGACCTGGCGATTTGTTCCTGTAAAGACTACCCACTGCCATCAAGCCAATTCCGATCTATAGCGATCCTATAGAACAGAGTAGAACTGCCCCATTGGGTTTCCAAGGCTGTAAATCTTCACTGAAGCAGACTGCCACATCTTTCCCCCAGCAGAGTGGCTGGTGGGTTTGAACCGCTGACCTTTTGGTTAGCAGCCAAGTGCTTGACCACTGCGCCACCAGACTAGAAAATCTGTGGGGCGGTTCTGCTCTGTCACATGGGGTTGCTATGTGTTGAAGTGGTCTTGACAGCATCCAACAACATAAGTGGTCACCTTCCAACCCCCTACTTCCCAACAGCTTCTGAATATTCTGATATTTTTAAGTCACACGTATGCACTACATTAAGCCTCACAAAACCTAATAAAAAGTGAGTGGAGAATTTGTTGATGGGAAACATCCAGAGTTCTTTTGAAGAAGGTGAAAGTTGACAGTCAATATGGTTATCTGGTCCCCTTAAATAAAGAAAATTAAGTACCTTGTTTCAGGGACAGCACTTCTATTATCTTGGAGTAGTAAAACAGTATGCAGAACTTACTGTTTTATACTATCTGGTTTACATGTAAGTTTTCTATCTCATTTCAAATTAGGTGAATTGTTTTGAATAGTAGAGGATATAGCATCAGGATTCATGGTTACAAGTGACAGAAATCTAATTCTAATTTCTTTAAGCCAAGAGTGGAATCTGTTGACTCATGGAATCCAAAGAAGGATTGAATGAACAAACTGCCAGAAGGGGAGGGATGCATTTGCAACCAGGGATTCTCCATTAGGGCTCTCTGTTTCATCTCTGCTCTTATATTTATTTTACTGTCTCTTGCAAAGTAGCATCATCCATTTGGTTAGTAACATCACTTGAGTACATCTTACAGATTTTTCCTCTCTCAGCTCCAGTTGTAAAGATCTTAGGGCATGCCTGCATTGTCTTAGCTTGATCAGGTGAACAGGGTCATAAGCACATGGCAGCCACTCCCCAACCCCTTGTGAAGAGAAGACTTGGTTACCAGGAAAAAGGAGATGTTAACTGTGAATTTTACTCCTTCTCACCCTCCTCCCAGCCTTCCTCATTTCAGGTTTAGTGGAGATTCTTTAGATTCGTGAATCTGCTTTCTTGGCATTTTGGAAGAGTCCGCTCATGGAGTGAGGCCTACTGATTGGTTTGATGATTTCATTTGCCTGATGTATTAGCAAACTTTTGCCACAGTAATGCTTCATAGGAAACCAAACCTCAGTGGCTTATAACAATAAGCATTTGTGCTCATTTATGCTGCTAGAGCTGCAGGTCAGCTTAAGTTCTGCTGATCTAGGTAGGCGTCAGCTGGGTGGCTCAGTGCTAGGCTGCCTGGGCTAGTGTCCAGGCTGTGGGTTGGGCTTAGGTCTCCGTGCACATGTGCTCATTCTAGATCCCAGGGCGTGCCCTCCCAGAGTCACACAAGAGCCAAGTTAGACAGCACAAGCACATTTAAGGCATCATGTCACTAACATTACATTGGCCAGAGCAAGTCACAGTTGCAACCCAACACCATTGGGGTGGGGACGCATGTGCTGCCCACCATGGAGGGGCTAGTGGTGTGAAGTGCCACCCAGCAGTCTACACTCTCACACCTGGTTTGGAGGAAAGGAGAGCCACTGATAGAGCCAGAAGATCTTTGGCTCAGGACGTGCATTCCTGGTGTTCACCAAGTTACTTCTGATTCTTTCCTTCTGATACTAGTTGGGTCTAGAACATTGCAACCAGTAAGTGCCTCTGAAGCAGAGAATGCTCTTTTTGGACTTAGGTCTTGTGTCCCCACAGCCTTTCACAGCGTTCCACGGTTTTTTACTTAAGGCAACATACTTGTGTTGCTGAGGTGTGGGTGGCCCTTCATTTTATGCATAGGGCTTTCCTGGACCTTGTTTGTTGCTGAGAACACACCTCTATGAGATAACAGGACAGTAATATTTCAGCCTTACAGATGGAAGTAACAGACTCAGAAGGTGAGTGACTTGTTGAAAGTAAGATAGCTAGTAAGCGATGGAAGCAGGGCAATAACCCAGTCCCTTTGATTCAGAACCAGCCTAGGACTAACCTTGACTTTATCACACTTTAGCCATGTGGGCAAGTTATTTACTCTCTAAGCTTAAATTTCTAATAACTGTGATGTGGAGGAGGAGGAAGATAATAGGACCTCCTTCATAGAGTTGCTTGAAAAGTAAGTGGGATAATGTTAAGTAAAGCATCTGGCATTGTGCCCACTTCACACAGGCTCTCCTGTTAGCTATTAACGCTCTGGCCGCACCATGTTGCGTGGTGATCACTGTATAGTCACAATGGGAATATATTTAGACTTGAAAGTATGCATTTCTATGAAAAGCAGTGTTCTGAATGACTGTTTTCCAAAAGTTTGATGCATTTAACTTCTGACCTGCCCCTTCTTTTTAATATTTTAGCCAGCTTACCAAAACCTGAGGCAGAAAGTGGATAATTTTGTGTCAACACATCTGGACAAGCAGGAATGGAACCCCACGATGAACAAAAACCAATTGCGAAATGGTCTGAGGCAGAGTGTGGTTCAGTAAGTAAGCAGAACTTAGGTTGGAAGGGCAGTGATCAGCAGTGTGATGCACAAGAAGGCTTATCTAAAGCACTGTTGGTCAAGGGGAAGGTGCTTTATGTCAGAGATCACATAGGACTGGCAGAAATCTGTTCCTTTATGAGCATTAAGGTTGAAGCAAGCAAAGAACTCAACTGAAATTCTTGCTGGTGTATCCAGCCTAGGTAGGCCTCCTATGCCCATCACTGCTGCGTGTGTCAAAAGGTATCCCAAATTGCAAGACGTGTTCCCTGCTCTTTGAAGTTTTCAGTGTAGTTAGAACATAAATATAATAAGTGTCATCCAAGATGTCTGTGTTGGAACTGTGCTGTGGATACTTCACCTGGTGTGTCACTGGGCACAGAAGTAGAGATAAGCTGTGGAATCTTTTGTCCTGAATAGAGTTTTTGTTGGCTCTTAATACACATACTTGTGTTCAGACCTTTTGATATTGACGTGGTTTTGATATTGTGCTGTAGTTATGCAAGACTAACATGAGCATGGCTGGGTAAAGCATGCATGGACCTTCCTGTCCACGTCTTTGCAATTTCCTGTGAATCTATAATTATTTGAAAATATAGAAAAGAATTTTTATATCAAGCTAGAATTCTCAGTATGGCTTATGGCTGCTGACGTGTGAACCTTTTTAAACAAAGAAAGCTAAAATTTATAAAAGAGGGTCGGGGAAGAAGCATGCTCTCAGAAGATGCCAGGAGCCTTGTCATTTTGGAGCCATTACCTGGTACCTTTCCTGTTTCCCTCACGAGCAGACTGGTAGTGCAGGGATCTTTCCGAAAGAAGGGGACAGTGACTAGTACTTACTGGGCACCTATACATATCTAGCCCTGGTCCTTAAGTGTGTTACTGCTAATCCTCACAACAAGCCTATTTTACAGCTAAAGTAGCAGATTAGATAAGCTTAGGTCTACCCTACCTTCAAAAGGATTGGCCAGCATGTTAAGAGAATATATCAAAACTGAATATTTTGAAAGGTGCTATTACGGTATTTTTACGTAAATAACACGCACCATCTACGTTTGATTGCTTCGCAGCTAACCAAGGCCTGATGCTGACTTCACTGTGGTTCCCACTCCTGCTCTTAAGTGTAGATAAGGTCTAATATATAGGCTACCTGAAGTTGTGCCCTGTAGATGCTCTAATAACTGTGTGTGTTTACACCGAGGCTTCCTGTTGATAAGCTGGTGTCTACCACTGACTCCCAAGTTCAAGGGTTATTTCTCATCTTCCAAAAAACCCATTGCCGTCAAATCGATTCCAACTCATAGCAACCATATAGGAGAGAGTAGAACTGCCCCATAGGGTTTCCAAGGAGTGGCTGGTGGACTTGAACTGCCAACCTTTTGGTTAGCAGCCGAGCTCTTACCCACTGCGCCACCAGGGCTCTTTAATTCCCATCTTTAACTTGCCACTATACATGTTCACTAATTTGTTTCCTTTGCTGTGTCCTGATAGACCATCTACCTATTTACTGTGGGACCTATTTTTATACCCAAGCAAAGGCTGAAATGGCCTAAGAACTCCTATAAGTAAGATTCGTTGATATGCTTGTGATGGTGTTTGACTATTTTAATCCTTTGAGAAAAGAAACTTTTGAGTTTGCAGTTTGCAGTTTGAGCCTCTGTGGGCTGGTTTCCAGATTTTTCAAATGTGATTTGTTTCTTCCAGGGACAGATGACCCAATAAGCAAGATATGCACAGGCTTCCTTACTAATCTGTAATGCACAATTTCACCCATCTTTTACCCTGGTTGCGTAGTGGTTAAGAGCAGTGGTTAAAGGTTGGCAGTTCGAATCCACCAGGTGCTCCTGGGAAACCCTATGGGGCAGTTCTACTCTGTCCTGTAGGGTCGCTATGAGTCGGAATCAGCTGAATGGCAATGGGTTTTTGTTTTCGTTTTCACCATATCAAAGATGTGATGAAACCCATGTGAAATGTGCACTGCACTGCACATTAGTAAGTAAACACAAGTAAGCCCGTGAGTGGCTTGCTTACTGGTTAATCCACCCCTGCTTGTCACCATAGTCTTCCTCACTACCCTACCCCAAGTGTTTGAATACAGACATTGGTAAATTTTGACTAATTTTTAGTCAAAATTTATTTTAGCCCCTTAGGAGCTCAGGGCCAGTTTGGTTCTTGTGTGTTTACCTGTTTGTATCCTAGCTGTCTGTTATGTATTATAGGTGACCAGCCACAGCCGAAGGCCATGTTGGATTGATGATAAGGTGTAAACACCCAGGAACAGGAGCTTGCTGGTTGTAAATTGCCCTTCAAAAGTTAAAATAAAATGCCTTGAACTGTATATGGTTAAGTAGATTGCCCTTTGAAAGAACTCCCTAGGAGGGCTGGAGTTTTGACCAGGTGGACTTTTATTGGACTCTCACATGACACTGGTTGGGGCTGAAAAGGAGTCTCAAAGGGATTAAATAACTGAATGGTCTGTTTGTCTTCACAAGGTCAGGGATGTTGGAAGCTGGAGTAGATAGAATTATTTCTCAGGTCGTGGATCCAAAACTAAACCACATCTTCAGGCCGCAGATAGAACGAGCAATTCATGAGTTCCTGGCGGCCCAGAAAAAAGAAGCCACACCAGCCCCGCCTCCAGAGCCTGAGAGCCAAGACCCTTCGGCTCCATCCCAGGACACGTCATAAGGTTTGGTATCCAGAACATTCAGATCATCTTTTATGCCGGAGCATTTTTCCCTGACTGAAAGGGATGTAAGAAATGGATAGAAGGGGGGTCAGCCATATTGGGAACCATATTTCTTACCTCTTCAGAAAAGTATTTACTGCAGGTGGACTTCACCTACTGTCATGAGTCAGTTTTTACTGAGAACTAATTAGCGTTTTCCTGTGTCACAGGGAGTGAGATTTCCTGTGCCCCCAGAGCTAGACATTTAAGCTGTGAATAGATGCTTCATTAGAAGCCAGCTGGGATGATTCATGTGCACGAGGGAAACACAGATGAAAATCTTGTTTTTCTGAAATTGTTTAAGTGAGTCTATCCCGTGGACATGAGTTGAGTTTGAAGTTTCAATGTGAAATCAAGGCAGGCGTTCTAACGCAGCGACCTGCATGGGGCTCACGGTGGGCTTTCAGCTCTGCAGGACCTCCTCGTATTAAGGAGGGGCTTTGGTTTACCAGCATCTGTCACCGTGGGGTTCTTCTGTCAGGAGCACTTCCTTTTTTACTAAATGAGAGATTAAATTTTATTTTAAAAGTCAGCTACAGATAAACACAAAAAGATGCTTTTTACCTGGTTTGGGAGGTATTAGTGGTAAATATGAGCAGTGATCAGCAAGGACGCAGGCAACGCTTTTACTCGGCCATCATTGGTAACTATTGGGGTGTGCATTATCGCCTCATTCTACCATTGGTGTTCCCTTTTTCAGATTCTTTTAAGGGATCAGTTTTTCTTAATAAATCAGATAAGTGCAGTGAGTTGACCCTAGCATCTGCAAATAAACCACGCCAGGCCCCAGGCTTGGGAGAGCTCGCACTACAGAGAGATTGCCATTTTGTGCCTGTGTTGAGAGAAGACCTCGGGTCTGTTACAGAGTGCCAAGCAACTGTCTTTCTAGTTTAATTGTAAATTCCTTTAGGAACATAAAATTCCCAAAGGTAGTCTCTAACTTCAAAGTAGCATTTTGATATGTTTATCTTTTCTTTTTAGAGTATGCCGGACATCTGTTAAAAACTCCTTTCTAATTAATGGTGAAGAAATGTCTTCAACCACATAAGAATGCAGCTCCTGAGCGAAGATAGTCCAGGGTCTTCACCGATTTCAAGATTTCACTGTGGGCAGTGTCCAGACTAACAGAGAGCAAGTCTGGCAGTGGGAACATGGACCGGGTGCCCCTGCACTGTGCTGCTATCTGGCTAGCCCATCCAAGGGGGTGACACCAGGTGGCACTACAGAGAGATAACGAAACACTACAGCAATCTGCTGTTGTCCTGAAACACACCTTTATACTTGAACGTGGGGATTTCATGTGGATTTTAGGGTCTGTGTGCTAGGATAAACAAAAGCTACAATGAAAGAATGTTGATGCAGTCCCAAAGATGCGACAGCAATGAGTAATGAACAGCAGGAAACATTAGCTGGGAGTAGGGATTTGGCAGTGTGTATTTGATATTGTTTCTTAGGGTTGCAAACTGGAACATACAAACTATTAGCATCAAATAGCTTTAAAGTCCTTGTGACCTTGTACATGAATCTTCTCGCCAGTTTCCTGTCCTGGTACACGGCAAGAAAACTTAGGGCCCTAGAATAAGGGAGGAAGCTCAGACCTTAAGTAGAAGGAAAAACATTGGCTGACCAGGCTTCTTCCTGTCCTGTAAGTCTTGGTATATTCCTTTTATCCTCATTTTTGTGTTTTTTTTTTTTGAGAAGTGAATTATCAATAAATGACTTAAATTTGATACTCTTGCTGTAGAGCTTTTGCTGACTCTTAGGCTGCAGGGGTGGGAAGGGTCACTTTTCTTCTCTGCCTCCCTGCTGCTCCTGTCCGGTGCACAGCACATGATTGTCAGAAAAGGTAGGGAGACAGAATTTGGAACTACTCTTACCCTGAAACTGATGTTTGGTACGGGCAGGCAGTTCTTTCTTCCCAGAACTGTTACTGGCCCTGGTCTTAGTGGAGGATCAGTGTTTCTCAAATGTGGATGTGCGGAAGTATCACCTAGGGATCTGGGGGAAATGCAGGTTCCAATTCAGTGGGTCAGGGGTGGGACTTGAGGGTCTGCATTTCTGACGCGCTTCCGGTGATGCTTACGGAGCTGGGCCTGGGAGCGCACTCTAGCAAGCCTTGGATCAGATCAGCACTTCACTGAGACTGAGAGCCTTTGGTTTTTAGTTTCATCAACTACTGGATATTGCTAATCTAATAAATGTTAACCTATTCATTTGGGTCTCTGTTAAAATGAGTGTTCTACTTCCACTTTTGCCATAAACATCCCTAAATATCTATAGGACTGTTTTGCCATATTCATTGAGATATGTTGGCAGCATGTGCCCTCTGTTAGCCACGTTTTAGCCACCAAAAATAAAACGGTTGCCTTTGTGTCAATTCCAACTCATAGCGACCCTATAGGGCAGAGTAGAACTACCCCAGAGGGTTTCCAAGGAGCAGCTGGTAGATTTGAACTGCCAGCCTTTGGTTAGCAGCTGAGCTCTTAACCACTGCACCACCAGGGCTCCATGTTTCAGCCAGGTGACAGTTACATCTGATGTGTCTTCTGTTTCCTGCCTCCTGACCAGCATAATTCCCCTGTCAGCTAAGATAGGCTGCTGTCCTCTTGAGTAACCAAAGTTTTCAGCCCCCAGAGGAGGGGTGCCCTCTAGTCCTGTCCACTACAGATAGGTCAGTATGGAATGGCCAGTCTTAACCAGCCTTGCTTTGCAAAGAAGCTTCTCAGACTAACCGTAGAGTCCTCTCCTCAAAACAGTCTGCTAGACAAGCCTTCAGTGGAAAGCTGCCAGCGAGGCAGCTGCGCAGGGGTGACTCTCACTGGAGAGCCACTCTGTTGATCTTCCCAACATTCTGCCCACCCAGCACCGGCCTCGGCTCAGTGACAGAGGAGGGAAAAATAGAGCAGCCCAGAAACAATGACGCTTTCTATCTCCAAGTGCCCAATTTATTACATTTTATATATTTTTTAGCAGGCAGTTTTTGATCTTGTCTCTTTCTTTGCTATCTTTATTACCAGAGAAGGATGTACCAGTTGATGAGAAACAGCATAATTTTCACAGAATGGTAAATATGCCAGAATAACAAAGGGTTTCTTTTTCAGTCATTGTGTTATATCCACTAAGGGTCACCAAGACTAGAGATGATCTCATTTAAGAAAATGGAGCAGAAGTAACTAGTCGCATGACTATTGATGGCCACTAACCATTTTTGCTTTAGGAAACCTTTTATAAAGATGGGTGGTGTTGGATGAAAATGAAAGCTTAGTAATAACTAGTGGATACATAGCTGTCCTTTCTCACAGCTCCTGAGAGGCAAGACCTCATGTCATTTTTCTTTGGATTGCCCCATAAGTCCCTTGCAATGGCTTTGGCTCTTAGCTGCGGTGAGTCTCCAGGGAAGCAGTGCCCACATTCCCTCCTGATAACATGTCCAAAGAATGGTAAATATGCCAAAATAACAAAGGGTTTCTTTTTCTTTTTTACTTATTTCTTTGAATCATTCTGTCATATCCACTAAGGGTCACCAAGACTACAGAAGGTGAGTCAAGACAAACAGGGCCATCAGGGCTGGGAAGAAAAACTACGCCTTCTCCCTCCTTAGGAGCTGGTTACCAGCTGTCTTAGTCTTCTAGTGCTGCTGTAACAGAAATACCACAAGTGGATGGCTTTAACAAAGAGAAGTTTATTCTCTCACAATCCAGTAGGCTACAAGTCCGAATCAGGGCGCCAGCTCCAGAGGAAGGCTTTCTCTCTCAGCTCTGGAAGGTTCTGCATTGGTTTTCCCTCGGTCTTGGAACATCTCAGCACAGGAACCTCAGGTCCAAAGGACATGCTTTGCTCCTGGTACTGTTTTCTTGGTGGTATGAGGTCCCCATGTGTCCCTGCTTGCTTCTTTCTTTTATATCTCAAAAGAGATTGTCTTAAGACACGATCTAATCTTGTAGATCTCATCAACATAACTCTGATCCATCTTGGTAACAGTGATAGGATTTACAACACATAGGAGTATCACATCAGATGACAAAATGGTAGACCATCATACAATACTGGGAATCAGGACCTAGCCAAGTTGACATATTTTGGTGGGACACAATTCAATCCATGACACCAGCTAAACCTATCTGTAAACTCAACTGAATCCTGATGCTCTGGGTACTTAGAGTAGTCATGCAGAGCCTAAAAAAAGCATGTGTTGTGATAAAGTAGAAAAAGCATCCCCCCGCCGCACACAGAAAAGGGCTAGACCATCAAAAATACCTCAACACCGTTGCTGTATTCACTCTTAAGCCAAAAATTAGTTGTCACTGCTCATGTCAGAGTTCTCTTCCTGTAGTTAGAAAAACCACTGGTATTTGCAAAAGCCCAGTGAAACACAAATATTACGAACATTTAAAAACCTATCAAAGCCTTAAGGAGCCCTGGCAGAGCAATAGTTTAAATGCTCGGCTGCTAACTGAAAGGTTGGAGGTTCAAACCCACCTAGGGCCTCCAGAGGAGAAAAGACCTGCTCCCGCAGCTATTACAGCCTAGGAAACCCTATGGGGCAGTGCTACTTTGTCGTATAGGGTCGCTATAAGTCAGAATCAAGGCACAACAGCATCAAAACCTTCACATTGTAGTCAGAGGATTTAATTTAAGAACCCCATCATTTAAGATGGGTTTGGGGTGAGGATGATGGTATCTCCTTTTGAAGCCTAGTTCTTAGGCCCTGGGACAGCTTCTGCAATTGCTACTGGCCACGGGGGCTTCCAGTCTGTAGCTAAAATTCCTGAGCAGTATTGCCTAACTCGCTTCTTTTCAACCCAGTCATAATTTTTAACGCTTTTCTTGGCCTTTATTGAAGTTTGTGGCTCTTCTATGAGATTTCCAGGAGTTTTACACTACTTCTTCATTTTGCCTTAAAACCAAACCCATTGCCACTGAGTCAATTCTGACTCGTAGCGACCCTATATGACAGAGTAGAACTGCCTCATAGAGTTTTGTAGGCTGTAATCTTTACGGAAGGAGACTGCCACATATTTCTCCTCCGGAGCAACTGGTGAGTTTAAACAAATGACCTTTCCCTTAGCAGCGGAGTACTTAACCGCTGTGCCACCAGGGCTCTTCATTTTGCCTTAACCTCTATTTACTCACCAAGGTGGGGTTGGTGGTTTTCTTATGCCTTCTCTATCACTAGCACATAAAATGAGTAAATACTAACATATCCATAGCAGCCCAAAAAACCCTCTGTTGGCTAGTTGATTCCAACTCATAGTCACCCTATAGGACAGAGTAGAAGTGCCCCATAGGGTTTTCAAGGCTGTGATCTTTACTGAAGCTGACTGCCACATCGTTCTGCCACAGAGAGGCTGGTGGGCTTGAAGGTCGTAGTTTTTGATCTTCAACAGTAAGTTATTCAAGTCATCTACATACCATAGGTTGTTAATGAGTCTTCCTTCAATCCTGATGCCAAGTTCTTCTTCATATAGTCCAGCTTCTCGGATTATTTGCTCAGCATACAGATCGAATAAGTATGGTGAAAGGATACAACCCTGAAACACACCTTTCCTGATTTTAAACCCTGCAGTATCCCCTTGTTCTGTTCAAATGACCGCCTCTTGGCCTATGTACAGGTTCCTCATGAGCACAATTAAGTGTTCTGGAATTCCCATTATCTGCAATGTTATCCATAATTTGTTATGATCCACACAGTTGAATGCATTTGCATAGTCAATAAAATACAAGTAAACATCTTTATGTTCTCTGCTTTCAGATCCATCTGACATCAGCAACGATATCCCTTGTTGCATGTCCTTTTCTCAGTATGGCTTTAATTTCCAGCAGTTCCCTGTTGATGTTCTGCTGCAACCGGTTTTGAATTATTTTCAGTATAATTTTACTTGCATGTGATATTAATGTTTATTGTTTGATAATTTATGCATTCTGTTGGATCAGCTTTCTTTGGAGTGGACATAAATATGGATCTCTTCCAAGTCGGTTGGCCAGCTGTCTTCCAAATTTCTTAGCATAGATGAGTGAGCACTTCCAGTGTTGGAACCATTTGTTGAAACATCTCAGTTGCTATTCCATCAATTCCTGCAACCTGGTTTTTCACCAATGTCTTCAGTGCAGCTTGGACTTCTTCCTTCAGTACCATCAGTTCTTGATCATATGCTACCTCCTGAAATGGTTGAATGTTGACCAATTCTTTCGATACAGTGACTTTGTATTTGCATCTTCTTTTGATGCCTCCTGCATCATTCAATTTTTTCCCCATAGAATCCTTCAATATTACAACTCAATGCTTGAATTTTTTTCTTCAGTTCTTTCAGCTTGAGAAATGCTGAGGATGTTCTTCCCTCTTGGTTTTCTAACTCCAGGTCTTTGCACATTTCATTATAATACTTTATTTTCTTGAGCAGCTCGTTGAAATCTTCTTTTCAGCTCTTTTACTTCTTTATGTCTTTCTTTCACTTTAGCTACTCTACATTCAAGAGCAAGTTTCAGAGTCTCTTCTGACATCCATTTTGGTCTTTTCTTTCTTTCCTGTCTTTTTAATCACCTTTTGTTTTCTTCAAGTATAATGTGCTTGATGTCATTCCATAACTCGTCTGGTCATTAGTGTTTAATGTGTCAAATCTATTCTTGAGGTGGCTTCTAAATTCAGATGGGATATACTCACAGTTGTACTTTGGCTCTCGTGGGCTTGTTTTAATTTTCTTTTTTTTTTTAATTAATTTATTTTTTATTGTACCTCACGTGAAGGTTTACAAAACAAATAGTTTCTCATGAAACAGAAGTACACATGTTGTTTTATAACGTTGGTTAACAACCCCACAACATATTAACCCTCTAACTTCTCAACCTCTTTTTTTTTT